GTGTTGAAAAACATGATCTCAAAGACTCAGAAAAACTATACATCACTGCTTGTGATATATGGGAGATATCACATCCATACCTCGAAATTTCAGCATCATAAACCTAACTTTAAAGCATTCTTAGCTACGTTAGATATTTATATAGACAGGCTTAAATCTAGTTCCAATTCTGAAGCCATTAGAACGAAATCTGCCCTTGAAAAGACGATTCTTAATCCTCCTGCGTCACTTTTATCTGTAACTGTAACACTTTCGTTCACTTTTCTGTACTCTTTTGCAATAAATCGCAATTTCGTAAATGTTCTATTTTACAAATAAAAAATTAAATGTGTGTGGATGTTCCTGAATAGCGCTGACAGAAGGAGTAAGGTCTAGCTGCAGACGCAGCCCCGGCCAAACACGCGTGCGAAGACGAGAACTCGCATGCGTGTTGCAAGAGATGGAAATGACGGTTCAGGTAAAGACAGATTTATATTTTTACAACTTGCGAAGATTTTGTACTAGAAATGTGAACGTTGAAGACATAGTTTGATAGATAGCGCATTCGTAATTTTTTTCTGAAACACTTTTATATAAAATTAAGCATTATTGGCAGTGGGGGAAGACGTCATGGACGCAAATTTTTTATATAATTTTTAATGAGCTACATGCAAGCCTTTTGGCCAAAATAAACGTAACAATAGGCTATTTATTTGACCATTTATGACTCCTCATCTAATAAGCAGCAAACTCACGACGGCAGTGTGGTAGCCCGGAGGTATTCTACAAACACAAGAACAGTGCTAATGCCTATATGTATTGTTTTCACATTGTTTATGACAGCCTCTAGGTGTAAATGTCATTTTTACTAATTGCTATTTATCTTTGTCTCATTAGTGAGAGGCAGCTGATGTCCTATGCCATGGAAAAAACATGAGCAAGGAGGCTAAACAGAAACTGCTCATATACTCGGAGAAATTCAGAAAAGCTCTGGACTCATCAGAATTTTTGAAGAGGCTGTAGCATTGTGTTGACATTTCTTTTTTTTTTTGGAAGGTTTTTGTAAGACCAATAAAAGTTGTTGCTGGTTGTTTCAGTTGTCTGAACTTTTTTTCTAAAGCCAAACTTTTCTGCTTTTGTGTTTACAGCATATTCTTTACAGATTAGTGTATGGTCAATATCAGTTTACTAGTCATGAGAATTAATGCAAAATATTTTAGTAATTTCTAAATCAATACATTTTGTGTCGGGCCTGCAATTATTCCTGTTAACAGAATATACGAAATACATAAATACACATAAAAATATGCCTAAAAATTACACATCAGCAGCTTTTTACGGTAAAGAAGCAATAAAAAATCATAAATAGTAACATAAATATTAACTACTCACTCGTATGAACTTAGACCCACTGTTAGTGCCTGTAATAACAAATGGTTGAAAGTTAAATGTTGCTGTAGGAGGCGTGCTCCCGAAAATGGAGGCCAGTGGGCTTAAGGGGTTAATTAAAACGATTACCACTAATTACTTTTTCTGATATTTAATTTTTTTGCTTTTAAAATAAACACTTGCACATACATTACTCACCTGCTAACTTAAGTATGTTGTGCCTATTGTCCGGCAGCTGATTATTTGTTGGTGGTATCTGTTTTATAATCCCACTGGGGACGGCCATAAATGCAAGAAACAAAATCCATACATTCATATTTAAACCTGGAGTCCTGTCTGTTTAATTACATTATTACGTGTTTGGCCGGGGCTACGTCCGCCAATGACAGAAGGGCATATTATTGGGGCCTCGCGGGGTTTCTTTCCGCATGGTTGCGCACGCGCACAGCCTATACTGCGCAGCCAAGCTGCGCAAGCGCAGGGTTGCTACTAGGCTGCGCACGCGCATTTGGAGCATTTGCTTATTTCCGCCACTGTGGTTTCCACTCTTACTGGATTACTAACTTTGCGCCTCATTGTGCTGCTCGTGGTCACGTATTCCTGGTTAGCGCTTTAAACCTCTAAACGCCCGCGGTCAGAGGTCATGACGTAGTGAAACAACAGCTGCTAGTTTAGGTGAACGTCAGCAGAACACGTGCAGGAAGCTAGCACGCTGAGAGGATGAAGCGACCCAACATTCTGCTCACAGGTAAACAGACACAGGTGTGTTCTTTCTGTCCCTTCAGCAAGCGGGGCACCACGTGCATCTTAGCAACGTTAATCTGAATGAAGTAGTAATCCTCATCCACGAGGGCACGTTACCGAAGGAACCTGATGTGTTGATGTGGCCCTCCACAGGAACTCCAGGTGTAGGTAAGAGCACTCTGGGAAAGGAGTTGTCCACGAGGACAGGACTGAGCTACGTGAACGTGGGAGAGCTGGCGCAGGAAGGTAAAAGTGAGCCTCGCTGATATCCGGATGGGTCACTGCTGCTGCAGTCATGCTTCTCTGCTTTTGTCACCAGGCCAGCTCTATGATGGCTACGATGAAGAGTACCAGTGTCCTATTCTGGACGAGGACAGAGTGAGTGTCTCCAACAGACCAGTGTGTGTCCTGAGTGCTGATGGTGGACAGCAGACGTAACATTATGACCACTAGCAGTGACGTTTCACTGGCTGGCAGTAAAAGAGCTTAAGCTGCAGTGTTGCTGGCTTCTAGCACGTTTGTAATGCCATGGTTACACATTGTTGCCTATCTTAGTGTTACAACAGCTGTTTTATCCTGTCTTCACCTAAGACGACTGTAGTTGCATGTGAAGTTAGTTCAGTAGATGGTAGTAAACACACTATGAGTCCGTGGTACCCAACAGGTGGTGGATGAACTGGATGAGAAGATGGAGGAGGGTGGTGTGATCGTGGACTATCATGGCTGTGATCTGTTTCCTGAACGCTGGTTCCACATAGTCTTTGTCCTCCGCACTGACAACACTCAGCTGTACACCCGTCTGGAGAGCAGGTTAGTTAGCCTAGCTTGTACCTCTCTGTCGGCATGTATATAGTATATATATGTATGTGTATAGTATTTATATGTATGTATAATATATATATATATATATAAAGTTTATTACCAGACTTTAAAGTCCTTTTTAAAAGAAAATAACATACAGATAAAAGAAACAATACAAGCAGTAGCTCAGGTGGTAGAGCGGGTTCCCTCATGATCGGAGGGTCATGGGTTCGATTCCAGCTCCCGCCAGGGGTATCCTGCTGTTGTGTCCTTGGGCAAGACACTTCACCCAACTTGCCTGTGTTAGTGGTGGTCAGAGGGGCCTACGGCGCCAAATGGCAGCCTCACCTCTGTCAGATCTCCCCAGGGCGGCTGTGGCTACAAGTAGCTTACCATCCCTAGCAGTGTGTGAATGTGAGAGTGTGTGAAAGCGTCTTTGGGTGTTTAGAAAAGCGCTATATAAGTTCAATGCATTATTATTATTATTATTATAAAAACACAAGAAAAGAAAAGACACCAGTTAACATTAAAACCAGTAAGATCCTATATAAAACACAGGATATAACTGCAGCGGGAGTAAGGAACAAGTAAACTTACTAGTTGAGATAAACCTACCCAAATATTTTAGCCAGTGCTTTCTCAGCCTAGACACACGAGAGCAGCTCACAGTGGGATTCAGCCGTCTCATAAACTTGAACATTGAATTTCTTAAATGTGCACACACTCACAGAAACAAACGTGTGACTAGCACTTCCTCCCCTAGGAGTTTTGAGGAGGATTCTCATTCCATCATTGTTACCCCTTCTTTCCACTGGAGCCGTCAGCAGCGCGAGTCGGCCGCGTCTCAGGAGCAGCATGTCGCGGCCCTTACGCGCCGGTTCTATTTTCTACGCGCGACGCCTCTAAAACGGGTCAAGTTCGACATTTTTGGGGAAGGAAAGAGAGGAAATCGGACGCGGAAACGTAGCGAAGCTCCCGAGATTTTCAGAATAAAGAAACGTACTGCCTTCCGGTTGCTTTACTTTTAAAAAAAGTTACTAACTGTGCGGCCCCGTGAGAAGTTATCACCTAGCTAGCGGTCTCCTTTGTTTTTCAGGTCCGTATTGGCGATTATAGAACGGACAGACCATAAAACACAAACCATGTTGTAGTTTTCTCCTGCTTGTTGTTGTGTTTACTGACGAAGTCACTCGTGTGACTTCGTGCTCGGTCGGTGACAGCTGCTCCCCTGCTGCTACGCGTCTCGTGGGAAGGGCCAAGCAGCAGCTTACGCGAGCAAGACGTGCTGCTGCAGTAACGTGCTGCTGACGGCTCCCGTGGAAAGAAGGAGTAAGCCACTTGCAGGCGCGCAGTTAGGGTGGGGGTGGGGGGTTCTGCCCCACCCCCCAGATTCAGATCGACCCCGATCCGCTCCCCGCACTAAGGCTAGAAAGAAAACAAAATGGGAGGTTAAGCGCTTGAAGCTCATTTTTCCAATTACATTGAATGCAGCATGACGTAAACAAACACCGACTCCAGAGGCGCCAAAGTGGTTGCTGCTGGGATGCAGGACGAAGCGAAAAAGGCAAGGAACAATTACTGCGTAGACCAACAGTGTAAGTAAGGGCTGCATAGTGGCGCATTATGACACGCCTCACCTTTATGTCAATATTGTTTTATTAGACGCACTCCACTTAGAACTGCACCAATCCAGCAACTGCTGCATTTTAATAACTAGTATTAAAGGTGAATACACAGATATTTTCACAAGAATAATTTTTGTTTTAAACTTTCAAAAACATACTTAGAGGGGTGGGGGTGTTGGCATTTAGTTTTTCTTGGCGTCTGGAAAAACATCTCCTTCTGCTCCCCTTTATTTTGGTCCAAGATCATTACTGGGCTGGCCCTATTAAACACCTTCTACACCCCTGCTTAGTAGACCTAATGAAGTATTTTTAAGCCAGTATAAAAATGACTGAAACATAAATTTACATATTTGGCATTACTGACCAATATCTTTGATTTAATTTATTAACAACATCAAGATGCATTACAGTGAACATTATAATAAAGTACATGTTTCTAGTGCAGAAAGGAGACGACCCATAGAAGCACTGATTTGATCTCATTTCAGAGAAAAGTGGAACAGGTCAGATGCACCTAATAAATAAAATTACTAACATAAACTCATGAATCTGTTTCTTTGCTTCATTGTTCTGGTGCTGAAAATATCACTAATGCAGATCAAAGGAGACACACAGATGAATGCACCTCTTATTTATTATTTGGAAATTGGAAGACAAGTTGGTCTTCCCTACGTTTACTGCTGCAGTAGACCTGAAGTTGTGCTCTACTTAAGAAGTTTTATTTTCCCGCTTCAGAAGAAGCGGCCAACGTGTTTTCACGCTTTCTCCGAGGCATGTCCCATCGCTAAGTTGTTAGCGCCGCGCGCTCACACGTCAGTAGTGCAGCGTAGCCTGCTGGAGGTTTTAAGGGTTCAGATCGAAAACATCCGTCCTCTCACACTGTTCACACATCGATCTTAAATTGTCGCTGTTGCGCTCACGCCGTAATACAGTATTCGATGCGGTTAAAGTCAGACGTGCAAAACAATCAATTTTACATAGATAAGTGATGCTTAGCCTGGCGGGGGAGGAAAACCTGGCGGGCCACCAGGCTAATGAGCACTGGGGAAACCCTGCCAAGATCGTCAACACTCATCTATCTTAATGCTATTGAAACATGTAAACCAAAAAGCATTATATCCACTGCTACCTTTCTAATCTGAACTCAGTAACGTATGCTGTAACTTCACCTTGCCCTTTCTCCTCCTCCTTGCTTCCTGCCAGCTGTGATCACAAGCAACAACAGAGTAGTTCCTGCGACGTCTTCGGGAAACAGCGCAAAAAAAAACAAAATAAAACTTGGGATCTTGTAGGCGTGGCGCTGGGATTTCAGCCGTGGCGGGCCGCCTATGTAAGGGAAACACTGACTGACTCTGATTATGAAGCAGATTATTGACTCTGATGAAGAAATTCACTCATCCAGCCGGGAAGATTGACGCTGCTGCAGCATCAGACAGCTGGTGCTGCACGAGAGGTGTGTGGAGCTTACAAGCTCCAAACGTTGGGTTTGATGTTTGATTAACCTTCTTTGGGACGTGATGGATGTAGAAATGATGGTAAAACACCGCTAACTTGACAGACGTAGCGGCAATGTGAAAGAAATGCAGTAAAAAGGGGCAGTTGTGTGCCACAATCATAAAAAAGGTAAAATATAAAATTTAAAAAGAGCTTTTATATATTTATATATAAATTAAAAACTTTCCAAATACAATAAAAATGTCTAAGTAACGTAACAATACGAAAGAACATCTGTTGGTCAGGCTGAAAAGTTTGGGAACCACTGCTCTAAGTGATAAGTAGAGTTGGGCATCGAGCATCGATTGGAACCGGTTCCAACTGTTAGTTTTCCCGGAATCCTTCAAAGTTGTTTTATTTCGATTCCTAGTTTCTATTCCTAGAATGCCGACGGAAGAGGAATCTGTGGCCGATCTCCATGAAAAACAAACGTGATCTACAAATTGTGATCAACACTTTTCAGAGCTGATCACACCAGCTGTCCCCCCTCCCCCACCCAGATATAAACAAACGCGTCTGCCAGACTTTTACTCCGTGATGTAAACTTTAACTCCTGCAGCTTAGAGGAAACTTGTTAGCTCTACTTTTTTTTCTCTTGGTTAAGGATTTGATTATCCCTGTGGGAGTTAAGGATAGGCTAATTATAAGCCACTAGGCTTCAACCTATTCCTTTTTCGGTTGCTTGATTACTTTTATGTAAAATTGATAAATTGTTGTTGTTGACCGAGTAAAAAATATCTATCTTATCTAAATACGTCAACACGGTGGATTTAATAGAAGCTTTAAAGAACAAACTCTGGACGGTGTGAGGAGAGTTTGTCTCACTGCAGAAATAACAACACACACGGAGCGTCAGCAGTCAGACGCAGCCGCTCACCAACACACGTGTGTGTGTGTGTGTGTGTGTGTGTGTGTGTGTGTGTGTGTGTGTGTGTGTGTGTGTGTGTGTGTGTGTGTGTGTGTGTGTGTGTGTGTGTGTGTGTGTGTGTGTGTGTGTGTGTGTGTGTGTGTGTGTGTGTGTGTGTGTGTGTGTGTGTGTGAGCGAGCGTCAGAAGGCTAAACAATAACCTGTAGAATAATTAAAGTCATCATGCTAGAGCAGCTTTTCTGTGGTGGACCACACCAGCTTCTGCCACCATAAATAATCATATTAATAATAATAATAAATCACACACAAAGTTGTGAACATTTTAATTCCCTTTCTGAACTATTTCTGTTGAGAGTTTTAATGTTTAAAATCTGTTAGCTTGTTACTGACAGCAGCTACGTTTAAGTTTCACTTCCTGTTGTGACTGAATGCTGCTGCAGCATGGAGGTGTAGTTCTCAGTCATCCTGGACGTGATCATCCTGAGAGTTTTAGCTGAAAACAGCTGCACGTTTCTGGATATGTTGGAGACATTTAGCCTCTCATCCCAGAGGCTTCTTCCAGTCTTTGGTTGTGGTCAGAAACAAACACACTGGTTGTGCTGCAAGTCTGTTTCTTTTTTTCTCCAAAACATGTTTTTGTCTAAACCACATATGTCAGACTCAAGGCCCGCGGGCCAGATGCGGCCCGCGGAGCATTTTTATGTGGCCCGCGAGATAAATATCAAAAATATATTAAAACTGGCCCGCTGGCCGATTTTACCGCAAAGACTTCAACTCCCATGATGCTTTGCGGCGTCAGCGCGGAGCCGACGCGCCCCCTCCTTTGTGTTTTTTCCAGCGCCTGCTGCCGGTGTCTGCAGCTCCGCTGTCTCGGACAAACTACACTCCTCTCACTCAGCGCCGAGTTCACTCAGCTATTTTCTGACGTTGAAGCCCAGAAACGGAGATTCTAGCCGCTCAGTAATGTGTTCACGACTGAAAGAGAAAGTTTTCCAACTAACGTCCAGACAGAGCTGATATAA